TTTTTGAGACGGAGTCTTGCTCTGTCACCAGGCTGGAGTGCAGTGGTGCAATCTCGGCTCACTGCAACGTCCGCCTCCTGGGTTCAAGCGATTCTTCCGCCTCAGCCTCCCAAGTAGCTGGGACCATAGCCGCGTGCCACCATGCCCGGCTAATTTGTTCGTATTTTTAGTAGAGAGGGGGTTTCACCGTGTTGGCCAGGATGGTCTCAATCTCTTGACCTCGTGATCCGCCCGCCTCAGCCTCCCAAAGCACTGAGATTACAGGCGTGAGCCACCGTGCCAGGCCTTCTCAGTCTATTTTCTTTTAAGTAGATGTGAAATTTAAAAAAAAAAAAATACTTACCAAAATAAGGATGTTGAGCTAAAAGAAAAAGTTGTATTTATTTTTCTCTCTGCCAAAAATATACTTCTGCCTCAAAGCAAATCTTTTTCATAAGGCTATCTTAAGTATAAGGCTGGGGCAAATGAACTTTAAATTTATAGGACACCTCCTCCATTTATTACTATCCGTATTTAAAAATCAAAACATTTGGTACCTGAGGATAGCTGCAAAGGGAGGAAGAAAGAGATGACAGTGGATTCAGGTCTTGAACTATGAATTCTACCTATTTGAGACTATCAAAGCACACGTTTCTATTATAACGCTAAATCTCTTTTCTGCAGTTTTAAAAAGTGACAGTATGAAATGCACAAAATAATCATTATTTTAAAAAAGAAAATAAGAATTGCTTTGCCTCTTTTTGGAATGGCTAAGAATGTGTGGTTAATATTCATTAAGGTTCCTCTTTTTTAGTATTTTGTATTGCTTTGAAAAATCTACATTTGTCATAGTTCATAGCTGCCTTGTTTAAGCAGCCAAGAATAGTTAAAATCACTGCTCACTGGCGTAGCTAAATCTCCACTAAGCTGACTTGACACAGTTTAAAATTTTCAGTGTATTAAGATTGTGTTAATCCTTTCAACAACAGTCTCTCAAATTGTGACAATGTCTTCATGGGGTCTATGGACCACTCTTCCAGTGCTGGGACTCAAAAAGAACAAAGGAGCTCTTTGTGCATCAGGTTCTCAAAATAAAGGAATGAAGAAGCCCCAATGCGTATTTTAATATTTTAGTTGGCAATGCAATTGGAACAGCATTCCTAAGGAGTGGCCATTTTTCTTGAAAGAGATAGCCGGGCTGGAGCTCAAGAATGATCAATATAAAGAGAATTTCCAGCTACAACGCACCCCAGTGAGGGAATTACAAAACAGTATTCCAGAAAATATTTTTTTGCTACTCCAGTATTGATTGGCAACATGGTGAAATAGTCAAGAAATCTTCCACTGGTTTTCTTGGTTAATGGAGGTGAATCTGAAATAAGTAGGTGGAATTCCCGATGCAGGCTTTTGGAAGAGTATTTCACAACCAAATTGGAGAGGAGAGTCTCTGGTAGAAACCCTACGTAGTACAGTAACGCGGCACTCACTTTCCAGTACTGTGTTATGCATGGGACACATTCACAACGCCTCAGTAAATACTGGACCCAAGTTACTGCTTTTCAAGGTCTTTATAGGAAAGAAAAAAGCAAAAAGAAAAAGGAGAAAAGTTGATGTTTTGGTCCCAGATTTTGAGTTAGAAAATGTACATTCATGTTTGGTGAATCAAAGACTCTTCTGGGAAAAGAATTAAAGTAAACAAATAAAACTTTTTACAGTTGCTTATTAACTATGCTCTTCAAACCTCCGTTACGCTGTTTCACACGCACTGCTTCCCTGGAGCAAAGCACTTGGAACTGTTGGAACAGACGCCTTGTCAGCCCTCAAAGATACCAGCAGTGTTTCTTAAAAGCCCACGTTTTCTAAGGCCACTAGAAGAAAATCTGCCAAAAGATTTGTCGTCGGTTGTCGTGAGATAGCACTATTGATCTCATGTTTCCATCAAGGGGTGCACTTGGCATCTTCCCCCTGGGCCGTAACCAGGCGACTATGCTTGCCACTGTGTGTGTGAACACTGGGGGCTCCGCTCCACTCCGCTCAGCGCACGCAACCGGCGCGCTTTCCAGGGACATTCACAACGACGAGGAGCTCTGAGTGTAATCTCTTATGATAAGAGTGTCATATTTGGGAGACGACGGGATACAGAGGGCTGACTCGGATACTGGCGAGTTAGGGGTTGTGCTCCCCGAGTCCACCGAGTCTCTGAAGGGGGACGGTGGGGTGAGGGCCACCAGCTCTTCCAGGTCTGGCTTGCCAGCCACAGCCTCGGGCCCGGCCACGGGGCTCTCCCGGGCCGCGTCCCCAGCCGCCTGCGCCCCCACCGCGGGCTGCGCGCCGCCCGTGACCTCGATGGCCGGCAGAGGCTGGATTTCGGCGAAGGTCGTCATGGTCGTGGGCAGCTGGATCTCTTTGGGGATCAGGTAGGACGAGCAGAGCGGGGCGCCCACGCCAGGGCTGGGGGCCGCGGTGGACAGCATCATGGAGTTGAGCTCGCTGATGTTGGCGGTGAAGCGGGTGACCACGCTGCTGATCTGCTCCATGAGCGAGCCCTGCGAGGAGCTGCTGCGCGCCGCGGGCTCCGAGTGCAGCGACGGCACGTCGTCCTCAGTACGGCTGGCCGAGCCTGCGCGGTGGCTCAGCGTGCTGATGGGCGACGGCGAACGTGGCCGCGCCGGCGCCGGGAACTGCTCTTCCCCCTCGGCCACGTCGTACAGCGCTTTGGGACCGGCGTCGGGAGGCTCGGGCCCGGCGCAGGGGCCGGGGCCGGCGCCTGCGCAGCCCGCACCACCCGCGGCCCCCACGCCCCCTGCGCTCCCGCCCGCGCCTGCGCTCAGGCCGCGGCTCTCCGTGCTCTTGGGGAAGGGCTTGATGACCGCCGTCTGGTTGGGGTTCTCTTTCTTGTTGATGTGGATGGACAGGCGCTGCCACAGGTGCTGCCCCCGGGTAGTCTTCTCGTTCTGGGCCCACGTGACGGATTTTCCGTTGGAGCTGCGGAGAGAAGGGAAAAGAGAGGTGACTCAGCGAGGTGCCCAGGGAGTTTGGACGCCACTTCCCCAATGGTGGATGTTCATGGGCCAAGAATGAGGACTTTTCTCATTCTTTCAGGAACACCGCATCAAAAGGACATCATGGAAAGAGACCTTGGAAGTGGCTTTCATTTGCTTGTTTTGCGTTAAAGGCTGCTTTCTCTTCAGTAGTTTATCATTGTCATGAAAATGTGTCAAAGGGGATGCTAGTCGGGATGAAGGAGTATTTATCAGGATTCTGCTGGAGTTCTGAGCCCACCTGTGAGTGCAGCAGCGCACATAGATGCAAGGGCTTGCAGTCTCCTGGCTGTGTGCAAAGTGCCTGGTACAGGGCAGAGGGTTCCTAGAGTTAGTGGCCCCTGAAGGGAAACATTACCACTAGGACCCAAACTCACCAGCAATCAGACAGGAGGGAAAGGGTAAGTCAGGGAATACAAGGAGGTAGACAGTGGTTCCAGTTCAGCCTTTATTCTGGAGGTGGTTATATATAACTAGGGTTTTCTGTCTGAACTCCTGAGTCTGAACACAGTTTTACTTAGGCTGCCTTACCTGCTGGAAAATAAAAATTTAATGAACATACATTTCTATTTAGAACTTCCTTCATAGAAATTCACCTCACAAATTTATTTTGAGACCTATTCTTGAATAACAATTTGATGAGTGAGAGTGCTGTATAATGCCTCCAGCACTCTTAATAGAGTGATTCAAATTAGGATCCTGCTGAATATTTCCGGACTGAAATGTTTTTTTAAAGGCTTCTCCCTCTTTCTCCTTTGTGCTTCTACTGTGGGGTCTGAAAGCCACTTTCAAGATGTGATTGATGCCTCAGCCTTAGCACCTGAAGGTATTCTCCTTACCATTAAAAGCTGACACTGTAGCTTCTAAAGCTACAGACCTTCTTTCAGGAACTTCACATAAGGTCAGCGGATGTGGCCTAACACTTGAGACTTTTTTATTTCTTTATTTATTTTAGACCGAGTTTTGTTCTTGTTGCCCCACCTGAAGTGCATTGGCACCATCTTGGCTCACTGCAATCTCTGCCTCCCGGATTTAAGTGATTGTCCTGCCTCAGCCTCCCAAGTAGCTGGGATTACAGGAATGTGCCACCATGCCCAGCTAATTTTGTATTTTTAGTAGAGATGGGGTTTCACCTTGTTGGTCAGGCTGGTCTTGAACCTTTGACCTCAAGTAATCCACCCGCCTCGGACTCCGAAAGTGCTAGGATTACAGGCGTGAGCCACCCCATGCCTGGTAGAATTTTTTTTTTTAGGTGAAGTTTTGCTCATGTTGCCCAAGCTAGAGTGCAGTGGCACAATCTGGGCTCACTGCAATCTTCGCCTCCGGGATTCAAGTGATTCTCCTGCCTCAGTCTCCCGAGTAGCTGGGATTACAGGCATGTGCCACTACACCTAGCTAATTTTGTATTTTTAGTAGAGTTGGGGTTTCACTATGTTTGCCAGGCTGGTCTCGAACCTCTGACCTCAAGTGATCCGCCCGCCTCAGACTCCCAAAGTGCTGGGATTATAGATGTGAGCCACGGCATCTGGCGGGGAATGTTATCTGAAGAGATCCTGGTATAGTTCCCCATCACAAAGTAATCCAAGATCTCTGTTACTAGGCATCTGTTATTTTCAGTTGAGACACCTCTGTTCTAGGGGCTGTGACCAACAGATAGCCTTGAGCAGCTTGAACACAAAATAAGTTGAAGACTCTGGTTTTATCACCACAGCCTATGGTTATTAAACTAAATTCTGTGTAAGACTCACCTAGGGCATTTGTCAAAGATATAAGATGTGACCCCAGGAGACTGTCTGGATTGGGTTCCAGGGATCTATGCTTTTGACAAACACTCTGTCCTTCTTCTCCCAAAGTAATTTTGAAGCACTTTGTTTCTCAGATTCTTTCACAAACTGAGAAACTGGCAGAAAGCTGTCCTTTTTTTTCTAGACCCCCATCACTCCCTTTGGCCCCTTTTGCTGGAGGGCTGGCTTGCTTTTGAGGGACAGGGGCCTGTACCTCATTTGGAATCCACCTACCTGACTGTCCCTGCAGGATCCACTCTGCCTGAGAAACCAACTGCCTTACTAACAGACCGCCATTTCTGCAGCCCCTGTAATGACATGCTTCTTGCCTCTTTTCACACTGCTTCCCATTTCTTCATCTGTTCCTTTCTACTTCATGGTCTTTCTTTCTCTTTCTCTTTCTCTGCTCCTTCCTGTGAAATTTCTTTCCATTTAATCTACCCAGTATATTGCATTCTTATGTCCTTTTAGAATCCTGGAATATGAACTGCTTCCACCCTGCCTTGCCCTTCCTAGAAAGGATGAACGAATAATTTTGAGATTTGGAGGTTGCTGTGCATCTGTAGTAGCAGAGTGGGTAGGGCCAAACAGTTGGTTTTGCTTTCTAGTGGTTTCAGGATTTATTTTTTCCATTTTTCCTTTAGCCTGATTTGCAAGTATTATGTTTCTTTTTCCCTGGTGTCCACTAACTTCTGGAACATGGCAGAGAAGAAATGGGCCAGTTTATTTATGGGATTTGATTGTGAGGATGGTTGCCAACTACACCTTGTGTCTCTTACCAGAAGGTTAACAAACAGATGTTTTGAACGGTACAGTTATTCTCCCAGGTCACTAACCCCCCTTTTAATACAAAGCCTGGGCTTGAAATCAGGAGTCTAACTGCATTTATTCTGCCAACTTATACCCTCGGAACAATCTTGGTCCTAGCAGAGAGAGGTTTTGCAAACATTTGCTTTTAAAAAGTTTTTTTTTTTTTTTTCTCTCTGGAATGCCTTTAGTTGAACATGATGGAACATAACTTTGGATGTCAGCAGTAACAGTCTTTGGAATCACTGTAGGCATGCCACAAAACATGATGCAACATGAGCATGTTGCAAACTCTTTAGATGAATGTGTGATGAGGAAACCATCCTAATTCATCAATTCTGTACAAACTGTTGACATCTCTTTCCTGGCTGTGCCTTTGCTTACAGTGCCCATGGCCATAAGGGAGAGAGAACGCCAGACCATTTGAGTAACAGTGAAGGCGGACACAAAAAACACTAGACAAGCAGAGAGATAGAGTCTAAATCCGAGTACTTCATTTCATTCTTTAGAATGTGAAAGGTTTTTACCCCTGAAGTAAATGAGAGCTCTTAAGAAAGAAAAAAACAAAAACCTACTCACAACATTATTCTGTTTATTAGTAGAATGTACATTCCATGAAGACAGAGATCTTATCTATACTGTTCAGTGACACTCAGCATAATCTTAATAAGCATTTGATGGATGAATAGGATTCCTTATTAGTGAACAGGGCCCTGTGGGGTATCATGGAAAGTGCAATAGAAAAGGGATCTGAAAAACCGGTTCTTACTCTGGATCTGCCATCTTAGATGCCTGGAAAAGAATGATCTTTTTAAGCCTTGGAAAGAAGCAGACAGTGTCTCATTTGGTTAAGGTTGTTTTGAGATTAAATAAGACAATGTAGGTGAAAAGAGCTGGTAAAGAGGTGTCTAAGGATGTTCAGTTTTTGTATTTTATATGAATACAACATTTCAGAAAATAAAAAGTGTACTCAATGCCGTTTTGATCCCTGATTTAAGGAACAGAGAGTTTAGTGCAAAGTAAAATATCTGGCAAGCCATAAAACATTTCATGGTCTTTTTCCTTTACCTGACCAACTGTAATAAACACTGGAGTTCTATGATCTGTGGCCTCTTTTCTCACCCTAACCTGGCTCCTTAGGTAATCACATCTACCCCATTAAATTCTCAGTTAACCTCCTTCCTCACATGCCTCTTTGTTGTGTTACATTCCTTTTTGCTTAAGCGTATCCTCTTTTTTCTTATTTTATTTTACCTTAATTGTCTTGTCTTAAAGCTTTCCTGACCCTGCTAGGCTAGTTTCCTATAGCCCCTGCATTCAGATGTATAACAACTCTTTGCTATATGTCTATCTCACCTGTTTGATGGGACATTATGAAGGCACCGTGAGAGGGTTTGCTGTTTCCTATATGCCCAGTAGTACCCAGGCATCGTTGAGAACACAGTAGATGCTCAGTAATATTCTTGGGCCAATAATAGAGCACATAAAATGCATTTCATTTTTTAAATTCATACTGAATTATTTTCTATTAGAATTAAATTTTATAAAGAATTCAGTATTAATAACTCTATTTTGTCTTATGGATCTATTTTTATTTGTTATATACCTCCCTTTAATCAATAATACCCAATGTCTACAGGTTTAAAAAATTTCATTAACTAAATATTAAAATACAAAGCCTGATATCTACCATTAAAATCATAAAATAATTACTTTTTATAATTGATATCTGTCTTAGTGAAATTGCTCAGTGATGAAATCTTATTGAGGCAGTAGTAATGGTGGCAAGGAGAAAGGACCCAGATTCTCAGTCCGGGATCTGACTCAGAATGATGTTGGGCAAATCACTTGCCACCTTTGAGCTTCTTTCCTTATTGGGGGAACTAAAGAAAAAAATCTCCCTGCCCACCTTGCATGACCTCTGGGAAAAACCAAAAGGATAATAATACATGTGAGGGTAATTTATATAGACAGCATAGCCCTTCTGCAAATGCAAGGGGTTATTCATTACCACTAAATCTTCCACTCAGTTGAGCTAAGATGTATTTATTATTTAGGCTGAGTCTTTTTTCAGCATTCATATTATATGTATGTCCTTGGGGGCTGAGGTAATAAGAATGAAAGGGAATTTTCGTTACCCATCTATGGCATGTCACCTTCCGTCACTGAATATTTTGTACATTGGAAAAGGAGAAGGAAAGAAGAGTGGAGGGAAAAAGGACGAGATGAAAGGATTTGCCGCATCTGACGAGGGCGCCAGAAGTAACTTCTTGCCCTCTTCCAGGTACCATTTCACCCTTTTGCAAAATATAATAGGATGTCATCTAATGTTCTCTCTGTTAAATTATTTGCT